TAGTTTATCTCTCCAGGTGTCCTGGCCAACATTTCCCCAAATAAAAATGGTTCACTTACTCCACAACTGTTTGTGGGGCACCTCTGTGTGCAATCAGCTGTCGTGTTTCACCTACAAAATACAGTCAATCCACTTATAATATATCCTGTAAAGAGTTTGAGGTATCTCAATGATGTAATGAGACGCTATATCAAATGCAAGGATTATTATATATAAATTGTCCCTGGCCTTCCAGGGATTAGAGAGAGAACCAGTCAGTACAGCGCCCTGTACTGATTGTGCATGCGTGTGTGTGGTATGTGTGTATGTGTGGTGTGTGTGTGTGTGTGTGTGGCAGCCGTGTGAGGAGTGGTCAGGCTTGGCGGTGGCGTACTTTACAGTTGATTGATTACCCACTGTCAAAGCTCACACTTGGACACTGGCCACTTGGGACAGGGATTACTGAAGGGCAAAATGGACACGAGGATTATTATTATTATTAAGTGGAACTGCACCCCAGCAATGAGGAGGCCAGACCAGGGGTACGGAGACGTGTGCCAATGAGTGAAAATGCGCAATAATTGAACAAAGCTTTTTCTTGAAAAGATAATATTTAAAATGCACAGACACCAACCAACCCTTTCTGGGCCAGACAGAAAGCTGATAGAACGCTGAATCAGATTTGTAACGTTCAGTTACAGACTGATTCATTGGGGTCATTCTTTCCATTCGCCCACTGAATCAGACCAGAGGACACCTCATAAACCATAAGAGGCCATGTTTGTGTTGCAAATGATTGGTCTGAAATTCCTTAAAGCTTTAGCCTTAAGGCTCTTGTATTACATTTGAACGCTGTCCAGAATTTGGCAAACTCTTAATTGTGAGGCCCTTCTTGTTTGTTTGTAAGTTTGTTTTGAGAACTGCAGAAAAAAAAGCAGTTTCAAAAATTAGGATTGAATTCAACAGTTCAATTGAACTAGTCGCATTCCAGACAATTTGCAGTGGTGAGAAAACTGAATGGATCTGGACCCCAGTGAGATTTGCAATGAAGGATGAACTCAAGTATTTTTTTCAAAATTAGAACGACCTTAAATGTTAAGATTAAATAGCCAAAGTCCGTGAATCTGTCAAGAGTCTCTTTTCCTGTTCCCAGTCAGTCTGTAGTTCTGTTTCCCCAAGGACATCTCAAAGTGTTTCACAGGAAGCGCTTCACAAAGCTTCGACTGTAGTGACTGCGTATTTTGTAGGTGATCATGGCAGCCAAGTAAGGGCTGCTTTCTAGAGCCCATGGGAAGGAGAGGCACTGGTTAGTCTTCTCACTACACTATAGAACCACACGCATGTTGTGGGAGCAAAACTGCGTATTAGTGACCAGTCTTTAATGCTGTGTAATTAAACTACAATTAAACTTTTTATGTGAAAGGCACTATCACTTTTCTCCCACAAAATATACAGTCAATTCACTTTCAGTATATTCTTGAGACGCTTTGAGACGTCGCAAAGATGAGATAAGATGCTATATCAAATGCAAGGATTATTATTAGTATTACTATACAAATACAAACTGTTGTTAATCTGTGTGTGTTGATATGGAGAGTGGGCGCTAATAATGCAAGTTCTTATTCCTGGTTTAGTGCCAGATATGGTGGTCCATATACTCATTGACCAAGTGAAGGGAATTTGACTTCGTTGAACTCTGATAACTCATCTCTCTAAGGGAAAAAGCCTCAGTGATGAGTAATTAGGAGTGGCGAGTTAGGCATACGCGAATATAAATAAATTAAATGTGGACCAGGATATTGACAGCGCGATGACACGATGAGTGTCAGCAACAAGTTAATCCAGCGTCGAGTTATCAGGAGTTTACTGTAATTCATTTGAATAACTTTTGTGTCTGAAAAAAACGCAATTCAAACAAGGTAAGTTGCACAACCCAGCGTGAAAAAGCGATTAAATAGTTGAAAGGACGTTGTGTGTCAGCCTGGCGTAGTGGAACTGCTCTTGCCTCTGAGGCAGAAGGTTGTGGGTTCAAGTCCTACGTTGGGTCGTGGCATCGCATAGTCCAAGCTGTTGCAATGTCGGAGGTGCCGTCCTTCAGTTGAGACGTTAAACCAAGGTCCGTCCTGTCTGGTGGAACAGGCAGACGGGACCTTGAATATCCCTTGAAGCGCTTTGAGACGTCTCAACGTTATGATAAGGCGCTATGTATACAATGCAAGGATTATTATTATTATTATTATTATCATCGCAGTCTTTCTGTCTCTCACCACGATCGCCAATAAAAGTCTACGTATTGCACAGTGTCGCATTGCACAGTACAGTAACCACTGAGTGGAACAAATTCATTTCCCAAACTCTCACGGATGCAGAGGTCTGTTGGCTTAATGACCTGCCACTTATTGCAAGAGCTGTTCTGAGCTCCCCCTCCATCTCCCCCTCCCTCCCTCTCCCTCTCCCTCCCCCTCCCTCTCTCTCTCTCTCTCTCTGTCACATGCAGAGCTGTCGAGTGGCAGAGATTGTGAATGGGTCTGTGCCTCACAGTCACCACTCATTCACATATATCCATCCGGCTGCAGCGTTGTGTGTGTGTGTGTGTGTGTGTGTGCCCTGCACTGTGGTGGCATCACACAGCTCACAGCACAGCACAGACAGAACGCCCTCCCAACGCATCAGCCCTGTGTGAGTGTGAGTGTGAGTGAGTGTGTGTGCGTGTGAGTGTGTGTGCTAACGTTTGCACATATCGATGCAACCCTCGTGCAAATAATAAGCCCCAAAACATACACCAAGTTATGATTAACAGCAGCGATGGGATGCCGCCCTTCTACCACCAACGTGTTAAAATGGAAATCATGTGTGTGTAGGGGATGGGGTGGGGTGTGTGTGTGTGTGTGTGTGTGTGTGTGGGGGGGGGGGGGGGGGGGGGGGGAGACTCACAGCAATAAAAGATTGTGAAAGAACCCGGAGCCCTTGAACTTTACAAACACGTTATTTCCAAATCCAGCTGCACAACACTTGGCAAAGAGCACACACATCTGGGACCCCTCTGTCTCTCCTTCCTCTCTCTCTCTCCATCTCTCTCTCCATCCCCCCCCCCCCCCCCCCCGTCTCTCTCTCCCTTACAGTAATCTTAGTGGTCTGAAAGCACTGTATAGATAATAGCTCTCTCTCTCTCTCTCAATATTGACTGGATCGAGAGACTTAAATCGATACCAAGAAAATACCTCTCTCTCTCTTTCTTACCCGAATACATCAGACTGGTCGTGGGGTGCAGTGGGTTTGGGGGTTTTGGGGGTTGGGATGATGCACTGAAGGGTTGACAGTAATAAACTAACCCCCTTATGGCCACTCTTGGGGGTGTGTGTGTGGGGGGGGGGGGGGGGTGTGGGGGGGGGGGGAGGGCAATGATGGGGGGTCGCGATGGAGCAGATGGGGGGCACCGCTGACCACCGAGAGGTACAGTGGCATCTCAGCAAACCTGCGGATTTCTGGTTAAAATGCGCTGTGGGGTTTCGTTTCAGCGCCTCTCCTCTCCTCTCCTCTCCTTCCTCCCTTCTCTCTCTACACTCTATCCTCTCTCTCTGTCACATTCACTTCCTCACTCACTCACTCCTTTCTAACCCCATCTCTTTCTCCCCCACAATCTCTCTCTCACTCCTTCTTTCTCTCTCACTCCTTCTTTCTCCCTCACCCCCTCTCTCTTCTTCCCCCTTCCTCCTCCTTTCCCCCCTCTTTTCTCCTCTCCCCCTCCTCTTCTTCCTCCTTCCCCTTCCTCCTCCTTTCCCCCCTCTTCTTCCTCCTTCCCTCCTCTTCTTCCTCCTTCCCCCTCTTCTTCCTCCTCCCCCCTCTTTCTTCTTCCTCCTCCCCCCATCCTCTCCTCCATCCCCCCCTCCTCCTCTCCCCCCTCTTCTTCCTCCTTCCCCCTCTTCTTCCTCCTTCCCTCCTCCTCTTCTTTCTCCTTCCCCCCTCCTCTCCTCCTCCTTTCCCTTCTCTTCTTCCTCCTTCCCCCTTCTTCCTCCTTCCCTCCTCCTCTTCTTCCTCCATCCCCCCTCTCCTCTTCTTCCTCCATCCCCCCCTCTCTCCTCTTCTTCCTCCTTCCCCCATCCTCTCCTCCATCCCCCTCTTCTTCCTCCTTCCCTCCTCCTCCTCTTCTTGTTCCTCCTGCCCCCCTCTTCTTCCTCCTTCCCTCCTCCTCTTCTTCCTCCTTCCCCCCCCTGCTCTCTCCCCCTCTCCCTGCTCTCCCCCCTGCTCCCCCCCCCTGCTCCCCCCTCTCTCCCCCGCTCCCCCCTCTCTCCCCCCCCTGCGCTCTCCCCCCCCTGCTCCCCCCCCTGCTCCCCCTCTCTCCCCCCCTGCTCTCCCCCCCCCCCTCGCTCTCCCCCCCCCTGCTCTCCCCCCCCTGCTCTCTCCCCCTCTCCCTGCTCCCCCCCCCCTGCTCTCTCCCCCCCCCTGCTCTCCCCCCGCTCTCCCCCCCCTGCTCTCCCCCCCCTGCTCTCTCCCTGCTCTCCCCCCCCTGCTCTCTCCCCCCCCCTGCTCTCCCCCCCCTGCTCTCCTCCCCCCCTGCTCTCCCCCCTCTCTCCCCCCCCCCGCTCTCCCCCCCCCCCTCTCTCCCCCCCCTGCTCTCCCCCCCCCCCTGACCCACGCTGTGAGTTAACATTCTCGCTTTAAATAGTTTCTCGGCTTCACCAATGGCTCAGGACCGGATGCAGAAGAGCCTTTGGGGACCGCAAATGGCCTATTCAGTTTCATGCGGATGACGCCATTAGCTATTAGTTATAACCCGAGCAGATCCCCACTCAGATGGGAGTGCGGAGCAGAGAGAGAGAGAGAGAGAGTGTCACTCACTCACTCACTCACTGACTGTGTGAGTGCACAGAGAGAGACATCGCTGACACTGTCCTGTGTGGAGGGTGTGTTGTCAGTGTGTGACACTGATCTCTGCTCTGGGTGGGCAATGCTCCTGTGAAAGACCCCCTCCACTCCACTCCACTCCACCCCTCTCTGCCTCTCACTCCATCCCTCCTCTCCTCCCTCCCTCTCCCTCCCTCCCTCTCCCTCCCTCTCTCTCTCTCTCGACCACTCGTTTCATCTCCACACCACTGAGCACTGAGGGGGACGCGGTCGTCTTCGTTCCAACGCAGTGTCCGGAGGCGGAGGCGCAGCTGCGGATCTGTTGCTTTTTTTGTGTGTGGGGGGAGAGGGGAGAGGGTGTGGGGGAGACAGACCAGGAGACGAGCTGATAGAGGCACTGACTGCCTTGACTGAGGAGCACAGGCGAGGCTTCCCACAGCCACACAGCCTCAGCGAAGGTGAGCAAACTCCAGCCAGGATCAGACCCTTTAAACAGCCCCTCTCCCCCCACCCCATCTCTCTCTCTCTCTCTCCCTCCTGCCTCCGCTTAACACGTGCAATGATACCCCCCCCCCCCCCCACCCCACCACTCCAGAGAGAGAGAGAGGGAGAGATACAGAGAGTGATAACTTCAATGCAAAGCAGTAAAACTATTCCCAATTTTGTTTTCCTTTTTTCCAAAAGTGGTGGGTGGAGGGGAGGGGGATGGAGGGGAGGGTGGGGGGTGGGGGGGGGGGATCTCAAATCTGGGCATTAAACTGCAACCCGATCGCTTTGGGTGTTAGTGTTAGTTAGGGAGATGGAGAGATGGGGTGGGGGGGGGGGGCACAGAGGGAGATGGGGAGAAGGGATAACGGGAAAGGGGAGAAGATGACGTTTGAATATCCATCAGAGAGGAAGGGCTTGTTTTACAATGTTAACTTTTGCAACGCAACAAACTGTGTGAGAGACACAGAGATCGACCCCCCCCTCCCTCCCCACCCACCCACCCAACCCCGCACCCCCCCACCCCACACCCCCCACTCCAAAACCCTCGCCCGCAACCTCTCGCTATTTTATTGGGCAAAGCCTTTGGATCTGCGAGAAAAAAAACTTCTTTAAACTAACTTTTTGACTTGACTGTACCTTCCTCAGGTTGCGAGTTTGCTGTATGTAGTGCATATATTATATTATATATTATATTATATTATGAGTGTGTGTGTGTGTGTGTATATGGTATGTACAGTATAACCCTATATAACCATCTGCATAATGTTATTGGAAGGTATTATTAACCTCGTTTAAACGTGCTGTTGCTGACAATGCTGTTGTGTTTATGTACAGATCGTGTTTGTTAATGTTAATCCCCCCCCCACTACTTAGTTGGGGTGTTTTTTTTTAGTTCAGAACTTTATTTGGCAAAGTGAAGTTGCAGCCAGTTGATTGCATGTGCTGTGGAGGTTGAGTTATGGTGTGTGTGTGTGTGGGTGGGGTGGGTGGGGGGGGGGGTGTTTGCTATGGGTTTATGGCGCAGAGCTGAGGCTCTGTCTAATGGCCTGAGGGTTTGACTCTTCCGAGTGCAGTATCGATTACAGGGCCAAGTTGCTGTATCGGATTCGGCACATCCGGACTTGCAAACTCCCTGCCATTCAATCGGGCTTTGCCAGAGCCCAGCACTTTGCTGGGTCTTAATGCTCCCTCTGCCCTCTCTCTCTCCTCCCGAAACCTTCGCAGCTTCTTAAGATTCCCCGGGCGGGCGGAGGCGAAACCTTATGGCAAGTTTCCTTACTCCGCGCTCTCCTCTCCCACCCCCGCCCGCCCGCCGCCCGCCGTTTACCCAGCGGTAAATGGCAGGAACCCGGTTGTTAGTCGATCGGCGGATCGCTTTTTCAGCGTGATAATCCTTCCGCAAGAATAGTTTCGCCCGCAGCATACGCAGCCGATCCACCTTACGGTATGTTCTGTGAAGCGCTTTGAGGCGTCTCGATGATGTGATGAGGCGCGATGTCAAATGCAAGGATTATTATTAATGATAATGCGAACAATAATAATCCTTGCATTTATTATAGTGCCTTTCACGTCGAGGGGACGTCCCAAAGGGCTTCACGGGGTATACTGTGAAGTGCAGTGACTGTATTTTGTAGGCAAAATGCGGCAGCCCAATTTGCGCACAGAAGTGTCCCACAAACAGCCATGAAGTGAGAGACCGATCTTATTTGGTGGATTGTCAGCCAGGAATTGGCAGAAATAGGCATCCCATGTAGCCACAGTAATGCTCTTAGCTACTTATAAATAATAATTTAAACGCTTATCAAAATGATTCCTAGACTTTTGTTTAACTTTCAAGATCGAAACTAATGAGATTAAAGGTGCCTTTTTAATCTGCACAATTAACCCTCATTCATCCTCATTATTGATCCGATACTAACACCCCCAGCGGATGAGATAGCATTGCCTTGTCAGAACTGTACAAATTCAATTTGTGATACAGTATTGAAGGGCTCAGCTTTATTCAGTTTGATTCTTCTGATTTCTCTCTCCCCCACCATCCCCCCCCCCCCCATCCCCCGCAGTTCTGGGCTGTCAGCCTTTGTCAAACCTGTTCACTTTGAAGTGCACTTGGAGGAGTAATTTAACCTCCTTCCCCCGTTCCCCCCCACCTTTTTTCCCCAAATAATTCATATTGCCCTCCGACTCTTATTGTTAATGTTTGAAAGTGAGATTGCTCTTCAAATCCGTTGAAATTGCCGCCCCAACACCTGGGCAATCTCTTCCAGCCGTTACCCCCTCCTCTCTCCTCCTCACCTCCCTTGGCTCCACCATCGGCAGCTTTCAAACACGGTGCCCTCTGTGGGTTTCCCTTTCCGCTAAAATATAATCACAATAATCCTTGGATTTGGTTTAGCCCCTTTCACGTCCTACAACACTTCACAGGATTCACTGTGAAGTGAAGTGACTGGGTGTTTTGCAAACGCGGCAGCCCAATTTGCGCACAGTAATATCCCGCAAAAGGTCATGCAGTGAGCAAACAATTTTATTTGGGGTGAGAGGAGATTATTGACCGAGGCTTTTCAAATGGTAAGAGAAGAGCATTTGGAACGAAATGTAACTTTGGATCCAGTTCCCCTCCCACTCCTCCCCACTCCACTTTGAGATGAGCACGTGACTTAAACTCACATCCGTAACTCAGACAAGATGATACGGACTGGATGGCTTGAGTCGGCTGAACACTGACCCAGACTGCGGCGGCTGTCTCCCTCTAGGTGTCGAGGAGTGGGGGTCGGAGAGGCATTAGGGTGGATGCGCGCTGTGTCAGGCGGGTGGGTGTTTCAGTGAGTTGGGTCAATGCCTTGGGATGACCTCCCGACATGAAAGACCCTATTACAAACATAAAATGTTGTTGTTGTTGTTACTGATGCATGTCCCTGATCTCTCTCCCTCTCTCTCTCTCTCTCTCTCTCTCTCTCTCTCTCTCTCTCTCTCTGTCTCCTCTCGATCAGGTTTGACCGATGTGCACCCAGCCTGGGACGGCACCGATCGCATTCAGATGGAAACCCAAGCCCCCATCAGCAACCCCCTCTCTCTCCAGCTTGCTCACGACCGGGGGCGGCAGCGGGCAGATCCTGACCCCGATCCGGGGGACACGCAGCTGGGAGCCGTGCTCTCCATAGACCAGATCCGGTCCATCAGGGCCAGCAACGACTACGTGGAGAGACCCATCGTCGTCTGCTCCAGGCCCACGACCAGCCCGTCCAGCTCGCAGCAGAAGTGGGAGAGGACGGCCGAGCCGAGACAGGGTGGCCTGGACCAACACTCGGGCACCCAGCTCCACCACTCCGCCGTCCAACAGCATCTCAGCAGGTCCACCAGCACAGTCAGCTCGGCCTCCAGGGGTAGCACGGCCTCCGACCAGAGACTCCTGGCCACCTTGAGCTTGTCCAACCCCGGCCCGGGGATTATCAGGGCTCAACCCAAGACTGAGTTCAAAGGCCAGCTGGACAAGGGCGCGGGAGCGGGCGAGGATTGGCGGAAACACGCCATGCGTTGCGAGGGGTGCGGCAAGTGCAAGTGTCACGAATGCACGGCTCCCAGGACTCTGCCTTCCTGCTGGCTGTGCAACCAGAGGTGCCTTTGCTCATTGCAGAGCGCCGTGGAGTACGGCACGTGTCTGTGCTGCATCGAGGGCCTCTTCTACCACTGCTCCACCGACGACGAGGACAACTGTGCCGACAATCCCTGCTCCTGCGCCCAGGCCCACTGCTGTGCCCGCTGGACCGCCATGGGCTTCATCTCCGTCCTGCTGCCCTGCTTGTGGTGCTACCTGCCCGCCAAGGGCTGCCTGCGGGCTTGCCAGGGCTGCTACGACGAAGTCAAGAGGCCTGGGTGCAGGTGTAGCTCCTCTAATACTGTGTGCAGGAAGGTGTCCAATGCTCCACGACCCAAATCCTTCGAGAAACCTTTATGACCAAGACTTCGTGCAAAGTCCGTGACTGCTGTTAAACCCCTGTGGAAGTTCAGAAGGGCACATTCTCCAGAGTTTCTCGGAACTGGGTTCCATTCCCTCCCTATCCCGTGAATGACCTGTGTTCCATGCACTAAGAACGGGACGGAAGGGGAGGGAGAAGAGGAGGAGAACAGGCTTCCAGCTGGTTATTTGAAGGGAACACCTCCCAGCAACACACAATGGCTACACTTTGGAAAGTCCGAGGCTTTATCATTGCATTGACCCAGGCAAAAAGGGATCATGTATTCTCTTCGTGTTAAGCACCTTTTTTTTGTGGATTCTTTGTTCAGTGTAGAGCTGGCGAGGTCATAGCTGCCAGCGGATTTCAGTATTAGCATCTTCAGAGCAGCAAACCTTATCTGTATTGGGGAGGGGGCGAGATTTTGGATCCTTTTTGTGTCCTATGGGATGGGCTCTTTTGGCTGAGTTCCTCTGAAAATGGGGAGAATGTTTTCTACAACACTCTCTCTCTCTCTCTATCTGATAACTTGCAGTACAGGCAGGGGGATGGAGTGGAGGGGGAGGTGTGGAGTCTATTGGCAGCAGGTCCTGTCGACAGCCAGCCAGTTTATCGGGAAACCACGAGGCTCCTCTCCACTATCAACGCATTAAACATTTATCGCTTGCCTTAGAAATGTGATCTACTCTATTGAAAATATATTTTATTTCCCCTCCATCACCAACTTCGCTCTGCTGTACGTACTTACTCCTGCAGCTCAGTCGTTTTAACTCTTTGTTGACTTGGATTGCGAAAGGTGAGAGGCAATGTTTAAATACCAGGCAGGATGTTCTTACTGTGAGAGGCACTTTCAGCCCCGTTCCTAATCATCTACACAGTGTTATTTTTCGTAGGGAAACTCTCTCTCTCTCTCTCTCTCTCTCTCTTACCTGTCCCCGCTCACTCAGTAATGATCTTTGCAGTTGCTGGATTGAGAAATTGATGTTCAGGTGTTTGATGCAAAGCCAGGCATGTTTCTTTGAAATGCATTATTGCATTTTAGCACTGAGACCAAAGCCATGCATCCACCCCACTCTCTCTCCTCTCTCTCTCTCTCTCTCTCTCTCTCAATCTCTTTCTTCTCCTCTCCTCCTCTCCCTCATTCCCCCATGTAATGATTTTACCGAATATTTGTTTCCCTGAAGACAGTAAAGGCTCTATTTGTGGTACAGTAAACACCTGATAGCTCGACCCTGCCTGGCATTTAAGTCATCGTGCTGTCAATCTCATGGCTGCATTTATTTATGTATTTATACATATAACTAACTTGCCACTCCCGATTACTTGTCACTCAGTCCCTTTCCCTGGGAGAGACGAGTTAGCAGGAATTTATTGGATTTCCTAACTGGATTCCTGAATAAGCAATTCTAGTCGTGCAAATGGGAGCTGTAACCGATGGGTGTTTAGTTTTTAAGGAACCCCATTGAAAAATCCTGCATAGCGAAGCTGTCTGTGAACCTCTCCAGAGGGGAAGTTGGCAAGGGAAAGATGGAGGCCATGTCCTGCTTTAGTCATATTCCCACCAGCCACCCAATAACGTGGTTCCCTTAGACAGACTGTTACATACTTGCCCTTTAAGTCCCACTGCTGTAGCTCCGCGCTGGAGTGTGTATGGTTTTGCTGTGGTGCGGCTGACAGAATGGTAACTTCATTGTTCAGCTGTACCACGGGGCAGGTGTATTCAGGTGCCGCGGAAAGTGTCTATGCCGGTTGGTTCAGCTGTATTGAGTACAGATGCATCTGCAGCATCTTCTGTATGTAAATTTACTGAGAAACAGGCAAGAAGTGTCCCATCCCAAGAGATCTGTTGGTTGATCCTTCCATCACCTCCGTCCTTTCTCCCCCCTCATTAGTCTATCCTTCTAAAATGATAAAGGGATTTGATAGGGTAGATACAGAAAAACTATTTCCTCTGGTGGCGGAATCCAGAACAAGGGGGCTTCAGTTTAAAATTCAGAGCTAGGCCATTTAGGAGTGAAATCAGGAGGCACTTTTTCACACAAGGGTAGTGTGGAATTTGGAACTCTCTTCCCCCAAAAGGCTGGGGATGATGCTGGATCAATTGAACTTTTCAAGACTGAGGTGGATAGATATTTGTTAGGTAATGGTATCAGTGGATAAGGGGCAAAGGAGGGTAAATGGAGTTGAGGTACAGATCAGCTTTGATCTAATCGAATGGCGGAACAGGCTCGAAGGGCTGAATGGCCTACTCCTGTTCCTATCTTCTCTACTTCATCAACACTAATGTACTATTGGAATGCTCCACTGAACGCCTCCCTTCCAAGTTCCAAATGCATTGATCGCTCCTCTCCGTATGCTCAGTTTTCCAGTCAATGATAATCACTCTGTCTTTTCTAAAGAGACTGTTGAACCTTGCGGTGCCATCATTTTTTTTTGTTCTTCCTGCAATCAAAAGACTTAAACAGACTTGATATCGCTTAACTACTCCTAATCTCATTATCGGTTACTCGTTTCAAACTCAATGGTGTCCTGCACCATGGCTTCAGACTTTCTTCCTGTTTATCAAAATCAGATCTATAAATCATAGATTTCAGTTCATTTACCTTATATTTCTATGTATTTTTCTGTTAAAGTATCCTCAGACTCCAATCCGTGCCTCGTAGTTCTAACAAATTACTTATGTTATATGATTTTCAGTTTAACACTTTTAAACAACTCAGCCTGATTAACATTGTTCGAACACTTGTCTGTTACACACCACCATCGTTACATTCTCAGTCAGAATAGTGTCTGTTACACATACTCCCTTATTACAAGACTGTTATAAACACTATCTCTGTTGCACACCTATTATTAAGCATCAGTTATAACCTTTATTTGTTGCACTCCTCATCCTTATTACAAAACTCTAATATAGAGCTATCTCTTTTAGGCTATAGGGCCTTGGTGTTTGTTTAACCTCGCTCATTCTGATTCTTCAAGTCAGTTGCTTGGCTACTAAGGCTAGCACTCTGTTGAGGAAGCAGTGTAAGAGAGTGGACTTCTGACATTCAGACCCTCCACACTTATTACGATGCTCGTTTGCACTATAAGCTGCAGTAGTGAAGAGAGACTGGTTTGATGTTACTGTAAACCACAACAGGTAACTGAGTTACAGTTAGTGTACATCAATCCTTCCTGTTAAGGGGTGAAAGTCAAATCAATGTTGTTAAATTGTTCCCAATTTTTCTTGTTTTGGGGGGCTAGGGGAGAGAGGCGGGGGAAGGAAGCCAATTCGATTTCCTGTTAAATTCCATTGTAGCAAATTATCCTAAGCTTCAGAGATGCCTCCTTCCAAGGAGAATTTGTGCAGATGTTTGGATTTCAACTCTGCTTTCAACTGGCATCGACCAACAAGACTCTTGGATAGACCCTAGAGGGTAAAGTTGGTTAAGAGGGAAATGGACCATTGAGTTGTGTGTTGCCTTGGCTAGCGAGGAGTAGTGGGGGAGAACAGAGAAAGAGAGAGCGAGAGATTTACTCTGATCTCTTTTTCATCCCCCACACCCCTCCAACTATTTGCCTTCGAGTATTATTTCGCCTACAAAATATACAGTCAATTCACTTTACAGTATATTCTGTGAAGCGCTTTGAGACGTCTCAAAGGCGTGATAAGGCACTATATCAAATGCCAGGATTATTACTATTATTACTATGAAAGCCATTTGTCTTGACTCAAAATAATTATTATACATTTATATATTTTTGAACTCTTTCTGGAAAGGATTCCGACCTGCCTTGTATTAATGCCCTGGCTATTTACTGCATTGTCCCTCAGTTAGGGTGAGTCACTGGCATTTAGCGTTGACGTGTGTCAACCGTCTGGATGAGGAGTCGTGTTTTTTGGGGAACTGACTGGCTGGCTGGCAGGTGGGAAGAGGGGGTTGCTGTTTGCAGGTAACCTCTGCTGTTTGACATTACAGAGCGGGGGAGGAATCAAAACTCTCCCTATAATGAACCTTAGACAGAACAGAACAGTGAGTGGATGAATTCTATGTATAAGCCATACAGATTCTGCATGGGGGAGGGGGAGGGTGGGTGCGGGTCCCAGATATTTGGACTATAATGCAGTGACACTTTATTGCCTGGACATAACTGAGCACATGTGGGATCACCAGTGCGGTGTGTAATGGGAACTTCATGGCTCGGGACGTGTTGAGAGAGAGAGAAAGATCTGATGCTCTAAACTGGTCGGAGTTACTTTCTTTGGGCTGTGAACATACCCTAAAAATCCGCAGATATTTGTTAAGTCAGTTTTGATTTTTTTTACTGTCTTTGTTGTACATACAATATCATTAATACTGTGAATGGTGCCAAGAATGACTCTCTGCTTACCGGTACATTGTACATTCAGGTGAATGAACGTCTGACTCTGTCTCTTGCTAAGACTGGGCCCTATTTGTCGTATATACAAATTCTTATATTAGCATTGCTTAGGTACAAATTGACAGCCTGTATATCAATCAAAAAAAAATACTAATTTTTAATCTTATTTTGTATTTTCTTTTGTTTTTTGGCCAACATGTTTAGTCTAAATATATTTATTTGAAGTTTTATTTTATAAAAAAAATATTTATTGAAACACAACACCCTTCTAGACAGTTGGAAACTGTACAGGACTTTACTGCAAGGAGATACAAATGTAAGGGTGGCACTACAGAACTGAATAAAGTATAAAACAGATATATTAATTTTCAAAGTAAGTTGCTTTGTTTGATTTTATTTATTCGTTTAGCAGAAACTGAGAACGGGAGAAATATTCTGCTCGACTGGCTCCCCGGCCTCCTGCTTTTCCCTCGTGCCCTCTGTTCTTACCGCGCTTTGAGCTGCCACACTATATAAATGCAAGTTATTGTTGTTGTCTGTATGTGACTCCATAACCCATTTGACCCCTTCCCCATGCAATCCACTTCACAACCCTCCTCCCTGTATGACACACTCCATAATCCTCTCCCCCCCACCCCCACCAACCCCTACATTCTACTCTATAAACCTTCCTCCCCATACATTTCACTGCAGTCCAGCTGAAGGAAGATTCACACACTGAGAGTAGGCACTTAGCGATCATATGGAAGAAAAATGAAGTAGGTTGATAATTATTATTATTATTGAATAATAATAATAAATTTGGTCACTCAATCCACGACTGTTTGTGGGACGCTGCTGTGCACAATTGGCTGCCGGGTTTCGCCTGCAAAATATACAGTGAATTCACTTTGTGGAATATCCTGTGAAGCGCTTTGAGATCACTTTGGCACCCCTGCTTAAATTTCCCCTTGTATATTCTACTCAATCCACCGCACTGTACATCCCTATCCTTTCCTTCCGACTCTGCATTCCACTGCGTAACACCATCCGACAGACTGTATAATCACTCAATTACCCTCCTCCACTGTAAATCCAGCCAATAGCCCCCCCTCCACTCTATACTACACTCTATAATATCCCCCACAGACTAAATCACACTCCCCACTCCATCCACTGGCATGTACATCACACTCGGAAGCATTCATTTGGAAGCTGGTTCTTTGAAAAGAATTTAGTCGAAACAAAATTAAGACGGAATGTGAGAATTTTCCAGAATTCTGCCGGCCGTTAAACAATAAGACAACAGTCTCGAGGCTAAAAACCGTGAATAATTTTGGGCCTCGGATACAAAGTTTGGACCTTGGCTCGGAGAGGCACTGTGTTTGGCACGGCTGAAGAGAGCCACAGAAATGTGCACTTGTCTCTCTCTCTCAATGGTCTCTGAAGAGGACTGATTGCTGGCCCCAGACTGAGAGAAAACTCGTCTTGTTTATTTCTTCTGTAACAATGCACAGCAGAGGATGTGCAGTGGCTTTGCAGTGTATCCTGTGAAGTCTCTGATACCTTGCGATTAACAGACACTTCTTACTTATCTTTGGGGACAAAACAATGTAAAGGGCCTTTGAAATGACAAGAAGGTGCGCTGCACATTTCAATCGGAAAGGGACACAGAGGGATAAATAGCGGCCCATTCAGATCCATCTGTATAACCTCATTTACACAATAATGTCTCCTCTCTCTCAAGCGCTGTAGAAAGCACAGAAGCTGGAAGCTGTTTACTTGTCAGAGAGTCAGATCTGAAACTATGGCCTCAATTCAAAGAGCCAGTGAGTGGAGGCTTGTTTCCTTTCCTTCTCTCAGTTCTGCCCCGCTGTCTATAGAGACAAGAAGCTTAAGAAAGCACTTTCCTCAAGAAAGGGGGGAATAATATTACAATGCTCGCATTTCATTGAACGGAAATGACGTCCAAACGGTTCAGCGATTTCAGTAAAGAGTGTTTGTAAGTGAATATAACAGCCAATTTGCACAGAGCAGTGAATGATCAACCTTTACCTGGAGGGTTGTTGGCTAGGACATCAGGAGACAACCCCCCTCCCCTCCATACACATCTTTTCAAATAGTATTATGTGATATTTAACATTCACTTGAAGAGACAGATGGGACCTCAGATTAACCTGTCATTCCAAAGGATGGTACCACTGACAATGCAGTGTTCCCCCATCACTGTGGGGGAATGTTAGGCGAGACTGTGATCTTGATGTAGGAATATTGCCCCCTCCCCAACAAGCAGCTATACTGTTGAAGGAATTATCTGTAAGATGCTGGGTATCCATTATTATACATACAATAATGGCGTTTTGCCCACAAAATATACAGTCAATTCACTTTGCAGTATATCTTGTGAAGAGCTTTGAGACATCTCGAAGACGTGATAAGGCGCTGTATCAAATTAAAGTTTTATAATTATTATTATAAACTACCAGACCCACTAGATTAGATTCCAGCCTTGAACTGACACCCGGGACTCTGACATTCTCTGTATAAACCACACAATCTC